TTCGATGTATAATATGAAATTGCTCATTTCTCTCAAATGTTGCACATTCAAAGAAGGAGTATCAATTATATTATTGTGGGGTCAAATATCCACAATTATACTACTAGTACTATATAACAGTTAAAGTCAAACTATAGTGGAGAACTCAAAGTCCAAGATTCACTCACTTGAAGAAATCACAAAGCTAAAAAAAACAAAAACAAAAAGGGCATAGAAAGATAAAAAGAAAAATCTCCATAAAAATAACTGTTGAATTTCAAAATTTTAAATCAATATTGGCTACTACACTCGTAAAGAAAATGAATACATTTGAAAAACAAATAATAACACATTTTTATAGTAATTTTTTATTTGAAATTTTAAAATTCAATGATTATTTTTTTAGGATTTTCCCAAGATAAAAGCCCTAGCTCTAAGAAAGTGAGGAAAGGTAGAATTTTGAAACAGGAGGTAAAACTCTAACCTAGAAATTAGATGTCCTGAGCCACCACATACTATGACCACCTCAGTTCTTTCTGCAATAACGAAACTAATTGGATTAATCAATGGCTTGCAATTGTGCTGGAACAGAGGGTACAGAAAAATTCTTGTGCTCTATGATTGTATAGGGGTTATTAATTTGTGTAACAAAAAGTGTAACTTACACCACTCATTTAGAGATATTATTCAAGATACTTAAACCATTATCAATATGGACTGGTAGGTCTTAATTAGACATGTGGATATGAATCATTTAATGGTTAGGGATTAGATGGCAAAAGCTTTTCATAAGATCGAAGGAAACATTTTGTATCTTTGATTAATTTCCACCTTAGATTCATGGATCTTGATCAAGAATGTGATGCTATTTAGTTTTATTTTTTTCAAAAAAAAAAAACCTTTTCTCTTGCAAAGAAACAAAATTAATGGTAGCCTAATCAATACACCATAGTTGAAGATCAACTTACCTGATGTTGTTAGCTGAGGTATAGTATCCCTCTTATTGTTTTCTTATTTGTTTCTCTGGAGTGGAAGGGATTTCACGGTTCAAAATATGAGGTCTCGAATTTAAATTTATGCAAATGCAAAAAAACCGTTTTAGATGATTTAGGCGATGTTTGGAAGTATAAAAAAATATTTTTTAAAAATATTTTTTCATAAAACAAGATAAATTTCTTTATATATTTACTTTGTATATAATAAAAGTATTTTTAAAACTATGGTTTTGATTCTATCTAAATACTCCCGTGGTTGCAACCGGACCCAGCAATGTTCAATTGTGACCCATTCCAATTTTAAAAAGAAAATATTTTTTTAAAAAAATAAATTTGTGTTGACCCCAAAAAAAAAAAAAAAATTAGAATTGCCTCATTCTTACTCCTTGTGCGATCGTAGCTCTCCCATCTCAGACGCGGAAGCCTCCGACTTACCTCTGCTGCGTCGATCATCGGCTATTCCGATCCTGTGGCTGTGTTGGTCACTAGTTCACAATTTTCTGGTAAGCGTCGTCCAGAATTTGAATTTTTCACAAATTTCGTTTATTTTGCTATCTTTCTGGCTAGAACCTAGAGCTTTGGGGGTTTTTCATTTTATTCTTCTATATCGCGTAAGTCCTGTAATCTGGATGTCTTTGGATTATTATACCTGTGTTATGGGTATTTTCGTTTTTGTTCATGTGCCGTGGTTGAGTTCCTGAGATAATGCAACTGGCAGATGAGAAAGGTCAAATTTGCAGAATCTGAGCGTAATGTAGAATTGAAGAGCAATTTCTTAGAAGTTTTCTAGCCCAATACTGTCTTAAGGAGATGGGTTTTCCCCGTTGGAATATGATATTCGAGGCCCAACCAAGTTTTACTACTTGATGAGAATCAGGAAAACCTGAAAGAGTTAATAAAGAGCGATTATTTGCTTACCTTCTTGAATTCTTCCTCCATCACTGACTACTTTGAAGTAAAATTTTATTGGTGTCATTAGCAGGACTTACACAGTAGTGAACTGCTAACCAACTTTGCAACTGGAATGGTTATAGTGAACCGTTCCAAATTGCTGTTTTGACTTGTGTGTTTGTATAATATTATTCTTTAGGTATGAGCTACTTTCTTTATCTTCTTTCGCTTCCTCAGATTTTGATTCCGTCTGATAGGTGAGTCATTCTGAACCCTTTTTATAACATGACAACTGATTTAAGAGGGTTGGGGCATTAAGAAACTAGATCCAACTTCCTCCAATGGCTTGATCCATTGTATTGACGCTGAAAGATTTGAACAATTGAAATAGTTTCCTGAAATCTTGCTTGAGTGCTTCCACCATCACCTTCCTCCTTAAGTTCAATAGGCAGATTTGTGATCTTTTGATGAAAAGGAGTTGAAGATTGTGATCTTCTATTCCCCAGCGGTCTCTGAATCATAAGGATGGCTATTCTCCTTGTCATAACCCTGGGGAAGTGTCGTTGAAGATACTTCACAAAGATTGGTTGAACAAGAGCTCCGCATTGATCCTTTGCTTCCTTTGCTCTGCTTGTTCGCTTGTCTAAACAATGATTGACCGTCCCTCCTGAATTGGCTTGTTAGGCCCCGTACAAGGAGTCTTCTTTGGAATTAGGCTTTGTTGGGCTGGGATGCTAGTATAGCTGGACAAAGAGTTGTACTTTACATCCAACTCTTTTTAAAGAAAGAAAATGGACCTGATCTGGAATTCTTATGAATGGGGTCATTTTCAGTCTGACTGCAAGAATTTTGAACTAATTTATAGCTCAGATGTTAAAAGCCATTTATGTGCATGTTTCTTTGACTAATCTAGGTTACGGAGTCTTTAATTTTTTCTTCTTCTTTTCATGTGAATCCAGATTAAACGTCTTGGGGTTGGGTGACTCTAATTTGTCATTGCTTTTAGTTTCTCTAGGTTGACCTTAATTATTTTCCTTTATCTTCAATCACGAGCAACTATCCAATACTTTCCCGGTGTTGCTTGTATCGATAGTGACTTCACAGCATCATTTGGTTAATACTGTGTTCTTCTTGCTATAGTGTGTTCAGTTTATGACTCTTTTCCTTAGCCGACAGTATATATTGTAAAGATTTAAATTTTTTAATGTTAACTTAAGAATCGTTTACAAGGCAATCTTTTTAATTCCTATATATTTTTTTCCTTCTGCTTTGAAGCAATTGCCAGATATCAATATGTCTCGAAGATATGATAGCCGTACAACAATCTTCTCCCCTGAAGGCCGTCTTTACCAAGTTGAGTATGCAATGGAGGCCATTGGCAATGCTGGTACTGCTATAGGGATCTTATCAAAAGATGGGGTTGTCTTGGTTGGTGAGAAAAAGGTAACATCTAAGCTTCTGCAAACCTCCACCTCAACGGAGAAGATGTATAAGATTGATGATCATGTTGCTTGTGCTGTGGCTGGTATAATGTCAGATGCCAACATCCTAATCAATACTGCAAGGGTCCAAGCACAACGCTACACTTATGCTTACCAGGAACCTATGCCTGTAGAACAGTTGGTCCAATCCCTCTGTGATACTAAACAGGGTTACACACAATTTGGTGGTCTTAGGCCATTTGGAGTCTCATTCCTTTTTGCAGGATGGGACAAAAATTTTGGTTTTCAGCTTTATATGAGTGACCCTAGTGGAAATTATGGGGGTTGGAAAGCTGCAGCTATTGGCGCAAATAATCAGGCGGCACAGTCAATTCTTAAACAAGATTATAAGGATGATATCACAAGGGAAGAAGCTGTGCAGCTAGCTCTTAAAGTGCTCAGTAAAACTATGGACAGCACAAGTTTGACGTCAGATAAGCTTGAATTGGCTGAGGTTTTCCTGTCCCCTTCTGGAAAAGTTAAGTATCAAGTTTGCTCGCCTGAGACGCTGACTAAGCTGTTGGTGAAGCATGGGGTCACACAGCCAGCAACAGAAACTGCCTAGTCGGCAGATCCATGGTTCATGCAGCTTAAACTATGCCCATTTAGTTTGAACCTTGGATCACCTAAGCTTTTCTGTAATGTTCTTTTCAAAAGAGGTCATATACTGTTGGAAAGATGTTTCAGAATTTTAAACTTATGGTTTTGATATCGTGTTTATCATATTCTCAAACTCCACTTTTTTAGATTTGTTTATACCCATGTTTTTTTGTCACAAGGATATACTTATTTGGTGCGTGTAGTTACGTAGAAAGGTGAGGGCTGAGACACCTGCTCTGTCATCAAATTGGATTTGTCGGCCTTCGATAATGCAATAACAGTGTTCATACCTTACGCTTCAGCACAGTAAAATGATAAAGAGGACGTTAATGATTCAAAGTTTGTTCACATTCTCAGTTTCAATGAAGCAAAAACAACATGCGAAGCCTTCTTCTGTTTCCCTCTTTTCCTGTTTCTATGGGCGACATTCTCCACGTAATGGTAAAATTCAACGGTCAGGATTTGACTGAATTGGATATTTTTGAGCTCGGAAAATTAGGGATAATGATTTTAAAAAATTGACAAATAATTCTTAAGGACCTTGTGTAATGCATAATTTAACTTTTTTTTTTAATGTGCAATTCATCGTAGCAATTATAGTCCCATGTCTGAATAATATTTTATAAAAATTCAACTTCCTATAATATTCTCCTTTAACTGTTCAAACACGCTGTGCATGTATTTTTTCATCCTTTACGTAAGACTTATTTGACTAATATAATTAGGTTAAAAAAGTTAGATAAATTAGTTAATTATAAGAAATATGACATATTTTTTTCTAAAACATCATAATTTTTTTTAATATTTTTCCTTCTTTTCTTATTTGATCATGGTTGAGATAATATTTATAAGGTTAACTTTTAAAAAATTAATAAATATAAAAAATAACTTTTATATTTAAAACGAAAATTTACTCAAGAATTAGTTTATATATTAAGGAGATTAAGCATAGAAGGAATATATAATTTGAGATATGTGTGTGTGTGTAGTTTATACATATAATTTGACAGATACATCAGCGCGCGGGTGCAGAGTTTCGGTTCGTCAGCCCCTCTCCGTTCTTCAATCCCGCCGTCCTCCTTCTGTCCGGCATCGGTGTGTGTATTAGCTTCTTCCTCTGTTCGTGTCGCTTCCGTGGTGAAGCTGGGTGAGCAGTTTGCTTCTTGCTTCTTCTTTCCTTTGCCGCCTCTGGTGGTACAATTGAAGCCTGCATTGCTGTGCGCTGGCGGTTCATTCTTCTTGGTTCTTCAGCGTCGGCCCCGTCTCTCTCTCTCTCTCTCTCTCTGCCCTCTGTTTGCTTTGAGTGAGGTTTACGGGTTCAACCTATCATCCCTTGTTCCTTCATCGTCTTTAGTCTCTTCTGTGAGTGGCAAGCTCGAATCGTTTTTCTTTCTTGGTGGTTGCTGCTGATTGAAATTATTAGATTAAAAATGTTTATTGGCAAGAAGGAAGGATCTGATATTAACCTTGTTGAGAATTTGATTGTTTTGAAACCTTAATGGACTTTATTGATGTTTGCGAGTATATTATTTGCTGGGAGTTTATGAATTGCGGTGTTTGGTGTGTGAGCTAATCTTGAGTGCCCTCAAGGTGTTCAACAAAAGGAAGACGCTCTGTTTTTTTTTTGGCCAAAGGAAGAGGCTCATTTGGATGTGTTTTTAAAGTATTTTGATGGTAGAGAAGAATTCTATGTCGGGTTGATGATGATTTAAATTTCAATTTGGAAGTCGTGTAACTTCTTGGTGATGTTAGAAAGAGTTTGAGTGGAAATTTTAAGAATTAAGTTTCCTATTTCGTGTTAGCCTATGGGATGTCTATGAAGTGTTTGCTCAAATGCTTGAGAAAGGAAATCATCTTGAATTGGGAATGCAATTTGTTGGTGATAACATTGAATAAATGTTAGTGTAAGAGTTATTTACTCTTCTATATTTTTTTGCCAACTATTTACTCCTCTATATTGAAGCGTGGATAATGTGGACATTGAATATATAAATAAATTTTGGTAATTTTATGTTAGATTAGAAATTGAATTGGGTAACTGTGTGACGCTATTATGAATAGGAAAACCAGAAAGTTAATGAAGAGAGATCATTTGATAACCTTCTTGACTTCTCCATCAATGAGTGTTCATGAATCAATGCTTCTGCTAGTTCGATGATTAGTCTGATTTTAAAAAACTTAAAACTAGATAAAAGGTTCGTGATTTAATTTGATATATTCTACTGCAGCGTTCTGTGAACTTGCATTGATCTGTTCGCAGGCCTTTTTTGAATCAGAGTAGTTATCATGTTTTTGCAGAAGAGCCTTACAGACCATGCAAGCATTGATTTTGAAGACAAGAATCAGGAATTAATCTCAAGAAGTTAAAAGCAGCTTCTAGGATATGGAAGAAAACCCAAGCAAGCGAGGTTGTGAAATTCAATACTTGCATTGTGGGAAGCCAATGGCATCAGGTGGTGGGATTTCTCATCTGAAGGAATCGAGACTGACAGCAACAGACTCTAGACAGCTAAGAGCCTTGAATGGTGTATTTTCCTGCAAATTAACAAGAAAATTTGCCCCATTTTTACAGTTATAACATAGCATGCTACTGAAGTCTCTATTAACCACCTTGATTCTCAAGCAACTTAATCAAATACATGCTCAACTCATAATAAGACCTAAGCCCCAGATATTAAACCCATTACTGGGAGTCTTAGCAAATTCATCCCGCCCACGAAATGCCCTTCTCCTCTACAACTTAATGCTCTACTACCCATTCTCCCATAATCATTACACTTTCACTCTGACTCTCAAGGCCTGCTCTTTACTACATGCACACACAAAAGGGCTTGAAGTTCATGGTCATGTCATTAAATCCGGTCATTATGCTGATATCTTCATTCAGAACTGCTTGCTTCACTTCTATATTGTGGAACATGATGTCGGTTCTGCCTTGAAAATATTTGAATTCATACCTTCCCCGGACGTTGTCTCATGGACATCCATAATTTCTGGCCTCTCCAAGTGTGGTTTTGAAGCAGAAGCCATCAGGAAATTTTCATTGATGGACGTGAAGCCTAATTCTGCTACACTTGTTAGTGCATTGACTGCTTGTTCTTTCCTGAAAGCTATGACACTAGGGAAAGCTATTCATGCGTATGGAATGAAGGGAATGGTAGATAATAACATTATTTTTGATAATGCAATGTTAGATTTGTATGCAAGATGTGGATCATTGGTTAATGCAGAACACTTGTTTGCTAATATGATGGAGAGAGACGTGGTTTCCTGGACCACAATGGTGGGGGCTTATGCTCAACGAGGTCGTAGTGAAGAGGCTGTTGATTTATTTAAAAAAATGGTACTAGAAGGGGAGGCGGTGCCTAACGAGGTGACCGTTGTTACTGTATTGTCAGCATGTGCATCTATAGGTGCTTTGAGTTTGGGGCAATGGGTCCACTCCTACATCAAAAGAAGATCTGACCTTGTAGTAGAAGGCATTATAGGAAATGCATTGCTTAACATGTTTGCTAAATGTGGAGATATGAATATGGCAATTCAGATTTTTAAGATGCTTGAGCACAAGGATGTTATCTCTTGGGGTACTCTCATTTGTGGCTTGGCTATGAACGGCCACGGAAAGCACACAGTGCAGCTCTTTTCTCGCATGTTGATTCATGGTGTTCCCCCAGATGATGTTACCTTCATTGGCCTGCTGTCTGCATGCAGCCATTCAGGCCTAGTAAACAAAGGATTCATGTTCTTCAAAGCCATGAGAGATTACTATGGCATTATGCCACAAATGCAACATTTTTGTTGCATGCTAGACATGTACGGACGGGCTGGACTCTTTGAAGAAGCAGAGGCTTTCCTCAAGGGCATGCCTGTTGAAGCCAAGCGTCCTGTTTGGGTAGCTCTTCTTCAAGCCTGCAAAATTCATGGCAATGAGGAGATGTTGGATTGGATCAGGAGAAACCTTCTCAATGACGAAAATGTTGGTGACGGTGCGCTTGCTTTATTATCTAATCATTACGCAAGCACTGAACGATGGGATGATGCTAATAAAGTTCGTGGTAGGATGAGAAGAATTGGACTGAAGAAGATGACAGGACGTAGCTGGATTGAGCTTGATGCTAGAAATGACACGTTGGATTTAGATTTGTGCGGGGCATGATAAGGACTTGGAAAGAAGAATCAAATAGCAGGGGCATATTCTTTACAAATACAACATTGTGGAATTTTTAAGGTGATGCTAATCTATGGGTTGAATTCCACATTCTTTGTACACAAATTCCTTAATGGAATGATATTTATTTAATCACGTCACGAGGCCTTGCGTAATTAGCTTTTCCAGTACATGACACGACGGGATCGAAAGGTCGCAAGATATTTTATACTAATTTATAGTATTTATGTATTTTAATCTATATGACATGGTACGTCGCATCTCTGTCTTTTTCTTTTTGATAAATGTGTATATAATAACATGAATTAGAACATTTTTAGCAATTGTTTTCTACGTGAATCTGTGTAATTAGTTTTAACACCCTGCATATATAAAAAATGATTGCATTTTCAACGTATTTATCTTGTAAATGAAACACGTGGAATTTGATTTATACAATTAGGAGATTAATTAATTTCAGTTTCAAAAAATTTATTGATAAATACGCTTGTTACTTAATATCTTGATTGATTATTTAATTTAAATATTATGTATTGGTTATATTAGAATTAACATGTTATATATATTAATTTATATTCATAAATGTAATATTAATTTATATACACGTCTGCGTTCCGATTCTACGGCCTCTCTTTTGCGACAACCTTTGCGAATAATACACAATCTCCCGTCCTTTCCGTCCTCGATTGTGTTCATTTGCGCCACTCTCAGCAAGTCAATTCCCGGCTTATCTCCTTTGTGCTTCGTACTAAACCCAAGCATGAGAGATGAAAGAGTCTTTCTTACGACGCAAAAATTCCAAACCTTAAAAACTCCTTGGATTATGTCGTTGACCCCGCTTACAAGGAACCATTGTGGAAGAAGACCACCCTCAGCTTCGCCACCGCCTGTTATGATGGTCGTGGCTCCGGCGGCGATGGTGACAAATTCGCCTGTGTTTCGATAGCTGAGAGGAAAGTTGATAAAGAATTCATGCCGACTCTGGCTCAGCTCCTTAAGCATCCACTGGCCGCTGTCACATTCGTTCCCAAAGATGTTGCCCTGTTCTTCGCCGGAGCCATTTCCGGGGCTGCTGCCAAGACTGTCACTTCTCCGCTGGATCGTATCAAAATCCTTATGCAGGTGCTGTCTCTGATTCCACACTGTTAATTCCTCAACTACAGTTCTCATGCTTTGTCATTTCGGGAACTGCTAGAGCCGAAATTCGGTACACTTCTTGTAGACTGAAAAATTCATTTTTTGGCTATAAACCGTGGAGATGATGACCGGGAGACGCAAAATAAGGTGTAGGAATTCTATTTTTTTTATTTAATATTGAGATTTAAACTTTCGGAATTAGTAGTCTTTGTTTTCCGGTTAATTGACTTAAATTTGTTTTCATGGTGAAAGAAATTGCAGGTATGTGTAATATCTTTATTCAACATGAATGAGTTTTTTGCTATCTGTAATATTTTTGAACGTGTTCGACAAATTGTTTTTTCTTTCTTTCCGATTTTCCTTTTATTTTCCAATTTTTGGGTATTATTGTTACTTTTCCTCTTCTATTTTTTTTTAAAAATTATTTCTAAAGTTATGTGCTTATCATTCAGCCAAGAGATATGCTCCTTGCTGATCAGGAAGTTTTTTTGTTTCGATGTGTGCCTAGATTGCTGTCTATTTGATATGACATTATGTTTTTTTTTCCTTTTATATGACATTATGTGTTTGCAGACTCATGGAGTACGAGTCGGGCAAGCAAGCGCCAAGAAGGCATTTGGTTTCATTGAGGTATTTAATGATTGGATCATTTTCTACGTTTAATTTTTATGATCTTTCTTCTGCTGTTTTTACGCTGGTTGCACATGCGCCATGTTTAACGCCCTGAACCTGAAACTCTTTCCGTAAACTCTCGTGTTCATTAGTTCTAGAGAGCAGGATTAGGGTTCTCATAGAAACCCAACAACTCATGCCCTTCACTTTCTAGATTACTCAAATCTATCTGGGAGTTATTATGAATGGCGGCTTTGATGTTTCCAGTTGGGTTTATTTTTATTCCATGAGCAAGTATAACGTCCTATTTATTGAACACTTTCAGATATGGCATATATGATGCAATTCCTTGTGAAGGAATGTGGAACAAGATGGTTGCCAGACAGTACTTTTTGTCGTGTGTTAGGTCATAGACGCACTTATTTGCTTGTTGCTAGCCAGTAATTAATAATTCTCTTAAATTGGTAGAGCCTTATAACTGTACCCATCTGATTGAAAGGTAGTGCACAAAATTCTTTGTATAAAAGCTGCCAACGAAATGATCATGAAGTTCACTTTTGTCATTAAATTCTCTGTACCCATCTAATTGAAAGGCGGCGCACTTAGTTCTTCTGATCAGAACATTTGTCTTAAATTTTTATTGGAGCTAACTCAAACATGAATTGCAGGCTATAACAGTTATAGGGAGGGAAGAAGGCATCAAGGGTTACTGGAAGGGCAACCTTCCCCAGGTCTTTGCAATGATTTGAGCTTATTGGTAGTCATCACTCCAAAAAATATTGACTGGTCATTTCATTTGTTTCAGCGTTTATTATTTTCCATTCCAGGTGCTTTGGATCATACCTTACAGTGCTGTCCAGCTGTTTGCTTATGACAACTATAAGGTCAACCCCTAACTATCTCTTAAAATATATCTTTTTTCAAGTCTAGTTTTTTTACTTTTGGATTTATAGAAAATATTCAGCGGAAAGAATGTTGAGCTCTCTGTTTTTGGAAGACTTGCTGCAGGCGCTTTCGCAGGCATGACATCTACTTTTGTAAGTAACTTACTGCAATCATGTTATTGCTCCTCATTCCAGCATTACTGTATATTCTATATACGACTATGAACATTGTTTTTTGGTAAATATATACCTGTTTTTTGCTCTTCTGAATTCTAACATTACTCTTGTTAAATTTTATTTTTTACTGCTATTTGTGATGTCCACCAGTGTTTCTAATTTTGTTTATATCTATGTAGGTTGCTTATCCGTTAGATGTCTTGAGATTACGATCAGCTGTTGAACCTGGTCATCGAACCATGACACAGGTATGATAGAGCTGGCTTTTGCATCTCAGTGGGATCTGCATATGTGAAAACGGATCACACTGTGGCTTTTCCAGGTTGCATTGGGCATGCTAAGAGATGAAGGATTTGGATCTTTCTACATTGGACTGGGGCCTTCTTTAATTGCAATAGCTCCTTATATTGCTGTAAATTTTTGTGTTTTTGACTTGTGAGTTCACGCACAATCTTTCATATTCTTGGCAAAATTAGAAAAGAATGGGTTTGGATGTTGCAATTGAAAAATCTTAATCATCTTTGAATAATAGATTGAAGAAGTCTTTGCCCGAGAAATATCAGAAGAGAACTGAAATCTCACTAGTAACAGCTGTGCTTTCAACTTCTCTCGCCACTCTGACATCATACCCTCTAGACACCATGCGAAGACAGATGCAAATTAAGGGTACGCCTTACAGGACAGTTCTAGATGCTCTTTCAGGTACGGATTGCTCTTTGACTCTCAACATAAAACAGTTTCTCATGCATTTGGTACAATTATATGTGTATGTCTCTGTATTTGTGTGCCCTGTAGTAACAAATATATAACATTAAGAGGTATTTTAACATTATGTTAGTGTGTTAGTGTTTAGTGTTTTGCCCAATGTTGGCATTTTCCATGATCAGACATTCTTAGGGTTTTCCAGTAATCAGTTTTATATGAATACTTATTTGAATGCCAAAAATTGATGCAATCAGAGGTACAGAATTGTCGCAATATATACAGAATCACCAAGAGGGATTTTAAGAGCAAGACATGCAATTTTAATACACAGAATATCTAGTATTTACCAAGTAATTTAGATTCGAGTGTCGTCAGGTCCTTAGAGGGAGATGGCTCTCCCAACATACCTATTTCTATCCACATGGCCTCAAATTCTATTCCTAGCATTGAGAAATGTTTCATGAATGAAACTTCAAAACTGTTTATGTGAAAATTAGGACTCCGTGTTGCTCCAAACAACTTCAGGTTCTGTTCAATATTGCAATGCTAGTTCAGGTCATATATGCATTAAACTTCTGACAAGGAATTTGGGGTTTTAAGTATGAAACTGAACACCCGTTCTATGTGAGGAAATCTTTACATCTAAAAGGCAATTTAATATCTGTACCAAGGAAAAAAAGGCAATTTAATATCAGTCACTATAATGAGAAATCACCTGTTAGGAGTGGAGACATTTTAATTTATATGAAAGATGGGAGTGCTTGAAGTTTAATGCCTCAGTAGTTTGTGCTATTAGCAAATCAATAATTCAATCATTGCAGGTATTATGAACCGGAATGGAGTTATGGGGTTGTACAGGGGTTTTGTGCCCAATGCGTTGAAAAACCTACCAACAAGCAGGTTCCTCTGATCTTCTATTGATCTGTAGCAGTAAAGATTATGATCTATTATTATTAACTTGATCTTTGTTGCATCCTTCTCATTGCCTCAAACCAATACTTAAATAACCATCTATTTCAATACATTTATTCTTTGTTTGCAGAATGGATCTTTTTTTTCTAAACGCATCATTTCTAACTGCTCGTGGGGCCAAAAAAAAAAAAAAAAATAAGTGGATCAAATATTGTCTCAAACTAGACCTTTGGTATTGAGATTGCCAAGGCAAACTCATTTGCGCAAAGCATACATAGTGTGTGCATGTGTGTGTGTGTGTATAGTTGATTGTGTTTTATATACTCCACCCTGAATTATGTTTGTGCTTTGTCGTCTGATTTTCCCATTGCTTCTCTGTGCAGCATCAGGCTTACCGCATATGACATTGTTCAACGCCTAATTGCAGCAAGTGAGAAAGAGTTTCAAACAATCACTGAGGAAAATCGCAAGAAACAAATAAATACCAAAACTGAATGATGGTGACAATAATAGAATTCATATTATCTTAACCCATTTGTTTTACCTCTTTTTTTTTTTCGGCCAACCCATTTGTTTTTCCTCTTAAATTATTGTTCTTGCAGCTTTGTCCATTGAACGGCCCGCGCCACATCCCCAGCTCGTTTCTTAAAACATAGTTCAATTGACAATTAGGTCAAACGAATTTAGAAATTTATTATACTTGTTTCTGGAATTAGACGGCACATGGGCTTGCGGGGGGGAAAAAAAGGTCCTTAATTATGAAAATTGATTAAATATAATTAAAGTTATGAAATAACGAAGTTGGACTATAATTCTACCCACTAGTTCAATCAGGGATTTTATTAATTTTGAGAATGCATTTTGTTTTTAATTTGTGTGAGTATACTTTTTCCTTATAAAGCACATTTAGTGGTCTAAAACAAGTTAGAGAGTGCTTCGATTACCTTCTTTTAGAGTTAATTATAAATTTCTAAATTTAATTAAAAATTGAGGCAAAGGTAGAATTTACTAGATGAATGATAAGGAGTTTATAAAAAAAATTCAAAAGAATTGGCACTTTCATGACACAAAGCTGTATTAATAAACGTACAAGTTAGTAGAGGCTTACTGCTCTCAAACATGAGTCTTAATTTACATTATTTTCTAAATTTATATATGTATGAAGGTGTATCAAGTACCCTAATATGATTTTTTTTTTTTTGCAACATACACCATTCTAATGTTATTTTTTAGTTTCGTTATCCAATACACTAAAAATAAATTTTATACTTTTAAAAAAAATTATTCTTTTTAATTGGGATATTTTAGGAAAATTAATATGAATTCGTAAGCGAATTTTTTAAAAAAAGGGGGGGCAATATGACACTTTTAAATTTTAATAAGTTGTGAGACGCTTCTCAACCGCCAATATTATTTGTTCATTTGTTGCGCGCGCATATTAACGATTAACTGTCTTTTACCGCTGGCCAAAAAAAAAAAACCTGTTTTTTTCAGTTTTTCCTACTGACAACATGAAATGTTAAATACATACTAACTCAGTGATTAAATATAAAATATAGTTTATAGTAGTAATTAATTGCACAGATGCTATACTGAGAACCGGAAGAGGTAGTAACACGCATTATTCCTGGAGCAGCCTACTGTTCTTGATTTCATTCGCCCGTCTCGCATCTACCCTCCTCGCTAATCTTCTTTGTGCTTCATTCTGAACGAAACATGAGTGGGGACAGAGTCCTTTTTACAACGCGAAACATTCCAAGCCTCGCCAACTCTTTCAACAATGTCGTGGACGCCGACGACCACGAACCGTTGTGGAAGAAGACCACCCTCGGTCTCGCCACCGATGGTTATGGTGGGCTTGGTTCCCGTGGCGATCATTGCAAATTCGCCTGTGTTTCCATAGCAGAGAGGAAAGTTGATAAAGAATTCATGCCCACGCTGGCTCAGCTCCTGAAGCATCCGCTGGCCGTTGTCGCATTCGTGCCCAGAGATGTTTCCTTGTTTTTCGCTGGAGCCATTGCCGGTGCTGCTGCTAAGACTATCACTGCTCCTCTGGATCGTATCAAGATCCTTATGCAGGTACTGTATCGAACTTAACACTGTTAATTCCTCGACTGCATTTTTTTATACGTCGTTATTTTTGAGAACTGCAATAACCGAAATTCGCTACATTTTTCTGTGTGTCGAAAATTCTTCTTTTTTCGTCCTTAAGCTTAGAGATTGAAGCTAGCAAATGGAAATTCAAGTATGGAAGATCGATATTTTGTCAACCTTGACCAGATATAAACTTTCGGTCGTCTTTAACTTTTCTGTCAATTGACGTAAATTTGTTTTCATGGTAAAAGGAATTGCAGATATGTCCAATATTTTCATTCAATAAGAATGAGTTGCTGCAATTTGTAATTTGTTTGGACGTGCTTAACGTATTGTGGCATTTTTTTTTCCAATTTCTCTTTTCATTTTTTATTTTTCCTTTCCAGATTCTTTACTACTTTGCCTTCTTTTTTAATACTTATGTCCTTATAATTTAGCGAAGAGATATGATCCTTGCTGATCAGAAATTTTTTTGCTTTGTTGTCGTGTGTATAGATTGCAGACTATTTTAATATTGCATTATATATTTGCAGACTCATGGAGTACGAGTAGGGCAAGAAAGTGCTAAGAAGGCAATTGGTTTCATTGAGGTATATGACGATTGCATCGTTTCCTATTTTTATATGTGCATCAAATTTAAATGATTTGTTTATACCTATTTTATGGTAGCTAATAGCATGGATGCGTTGAAAGTGTTAATCTTTCTTCTGCAGGTTTTATAATAAGCTGATTGCTTATATGCCATGTATAGCCTCCTTTGGGCCAGACGCTTTCTTTCTTTCTTCCTTCCTTCCTTCCTTCCTTCCTTCTTCTTCTTCTTTTTTAAAAAAACATTGTAGAGCTTTGTTGTTGTACCTATCTAATTTGAAAGATAGATAAGTCACCAAATTTTTGGTATTAAAATTGCCAACTAACTTATCATAAGGTTCCCTTTTGTCACTAGATGGATCCTCTTAGCAAAAGATTAGTATATACTTGACAGTAAATGACAGTAAATGCTGTATTGTTAGTCTACCCTATCTCTTTGCCTCAACCTTTGATGCATCTTGTCAGTAAATGCTCTTTTGATCAGAACATTTATCCAAAAATTTTTGTTGGAGCTAACTCGAATATGAATTACAGGCTACAACACTTATAGCAAAGGAAGAAGGCATCAAGGGTTATTGGAAGGGCAACCTCCCCCAGGTCTCTACAAATGATTGAATCTATTGGTATCTATTTCTCCAAATAATATTGATTGGCCATTTCATGTGTTTTAGTGTTTCTTCTTTTGCATCCCAGGTGATTCGGATCATTCCTTATAGTGCTGTCCAGCTTTTTGCTTATGAAACCTATAAGGTGACCCCCTAACTATCTTGTAAGATGTTTCAGTGCTAAATATTTTTTTGTGCAAGTCTAGAGTTATCCTTTCGGATTTCTAGAAAATATTCAGAGGAAAGAATGGTGAGCTCTCTGTTTTCGGAAGACTTGCTGCAGGTGCTTTTGCTGGCATGACATCCACTTTTGTAAGTAACTTATTCCAAAGGACTTACTTGTAGGTTTGACAACCATGCTATTATGTTATTGTGCTTCATTCCAGCATTATATTATAGCATATTTTATATAACAAGATGAAGAATTTCTGTTGCACATTGATAATTTTCACAATCTTCTAAATTCTAATATTACTCTTGAGTTTTACTTATTGTTATTTATAACTATACTATCTATCAATGCATCTAATTTTGTCTATCTATGTAGATAACATACCCATTGGATGTGTTGAGATTACGATTGGCAGTTGAACCAGGTTACCGAACCATGACAGAGGTATGGTAAGCCTGGCTTTTGTATCTCATAAAGATCCGCCTCCTTGAAAATGGATCAAACTGTGGCTTTTCCAGGTTGCTTTGGGCATGCTAAGAGATGAAGGGTTTGCATCTTTCTATTATGGCCTGGGGCCTTCCCTAATTGGAATAGCTCCTTATATTGCTGTTAACTTTTGTGTTTTTGACTTGTGAGTTCATGATAATCTTTTATCTTCTAAGTAAATTAAAAGAGAATGGACTTGGATATTGAAATTGAAACATCTTAACCATCTCTGAATGATAGATTAAAGAAGTCGTTGCCTGAAAAATATCAAAAGAGAACTGAAACCTCCCTACTAACAGCTGTGCTTTCGGCTTCTCTCGCCACTATTACATGCTACCCTCTAGACACTGTGCGAAGACAGATGCAAATTAAGGGTACACCTTACAATACAGTTTTAGATGCTCTTACAGGTGGGCATTGCTCCTCTTTACTTTCAACATAAAGTAGTTTCCTCCGCACACATTTGGTATATGTGTGTATGCTTATCTCCATAATTTGTGTGCTAGTAAGTGACAAATGTATAAGCTTCAAAGGTTATTCGGCATTAAAAGTCCCATATACTAAAAGGTCTAGCTTGCGTTTTAGTGTGTAGTCTTTTGCCCAGGATAGTTGGCATTCATAGCTGGAGTAGTTATGTCACTTTATTGGTTCCTGGAATTTAAATATTTCCTTAATCAGACATTCTTAGAATTTTTCAGCAATCAGTTTTATATTTGCTTATGTACTTAAAATTCATCTCTGTTGTCAGTAGATGTCAGTCGCTGAATCACAATGCGTAGTTTTCCAATTGTTCACTAGAAATTTAATGGGTACTAATCCCTTATTTGGTGTGAGGGATCAAGACTTCAGCTGAGACTTGCTTTAACAGACTGAGATCTGCTGTTATATTTTCTTCCACACCATTTTTTCCTTTTCATCTTGAATGTCCTACCCAATATTTTATACAGGTGGTGCTATCGTAATATAAATTAGGGTAAGATATGGAAATTTCAGGAGGTTTTCACTTGCTCACAAGTGATTCAAATTCAATTATATTATGAGCTGTATTTTGTAGCTGTCTACTGCAGAATGCAGGTGCTGTGTCTTTAGTATAAGTTATTTATTTTTATCACTTTAATGAGGAAAGAAGCCATGCAAGACAGTCTGTTCTTATCAAAGGCCTTCAAAATCTATTACAGCTGATAATGTCGAGTTCTCTTTCTTCTATTGAAAATGTTTCATCCAGAGAGTTTATCTATGAATTAGGATTTTTTCTGTGATGCCCCTACATCTTGAAATAATTTTAGATTCTATTTAATTTTTCAATGATTTTTCAGATTATATAAGCATGAAACTCCTAACAAGAAATTTTTGACTTTTAAGCATGAAACTAGCCCACTAAAGGCAATTACTATAATTGGGATTCAGGCTTAACCAGGTTGTAGCCTGTTGCGTCTGGATACATTTTAATTTATTTAAAAGATGAGAATGCTTGCAGTTTAATGCCTCGCTAGTTTGTGCTATCGGCAAATCAATAATTCCCCTTATGCAGGTATTGTAGAACGGGATGGAATTATTGGCTTATACCGGGGCTTTGTGCCCAATGCCTTGAAAAACCTACCAAACAGCAGGTGCATCTGATCTTCTTTTGTACATATGACTATGTCATTAAAAACTATGATATATCGACTTGATTTTTATTGCAATCTTCTCACTGCCTCAAACCTTCTTGTGGCCTAGTGATAACTTCATTTTTCTTACCGAACACATAATTGCTTCCTGCTTGTCGGAAAATAAGATGAAGAAATAATATCGTCTTAAACTAGACCTCTGATGTTATGATTGCCAAGGCAAACTCAGTTGCTTTTGTACTATGCTAAGCATGCAGATTGATGAAAATTAAAGTTAATTATGATCATGTCTATTTTACTCTGAATCAAGCTTGTGCTTTATCGTTTGATTTCTCCTTTTTTCTTCTCTGTGCAGCATCAGGCTTACCACATATGACATTGTTAAACGCCTGATTGCAGCAAGTGAGAAGGAGTTCCAAACAATTGCAGAGGAAAATCGCAAGAAACAAACAAATACCAAGACTCAATGATATAGTGGAAATAGAATTCATTTGTCGGACCCTAATTTTCCTCCTAAGATATTGCTCTTGTAGCATCATCCACTAGTTATGGGAGTGTCTTTACTCCTGAACTCTCAGCCTTGCTGCCAATGTTGTTGTAGGGAAAAACCCAAAAGTGTTCTCTGCAAGGTACCTCAGTCCATCTATGATCTGTATAGTTTTCCGAAAGCAATCAATAATGTGGTGCTCAGTGTGGGGGCAATCTTTTTTATCCGAAAAGATGATAGCCTGAGGAACTCTATACCATTCTTATCTTGTTCTGGACCAATGGAGAGTGAATTTTTTAGGAGAAACGGTTGTTCCAAGTGCTTTGTAATTGTTATATTCTTTTGCTCAATTCCTTGGTCGTATTTGATCCTGCCATGCTGTATTTTGTCAAACTGAATGCTGGAAATATTATACTAGTCAATCCAAGTTATTTTGTTCTTTAGCCTATCATCACTTATAAACTGAATTATTCCCTGTTTATTGTTCTACCGAAATCGATGGACTCATCAGTGCACTATGGGCAACATTATAATCACAATTACTCACAACAACCTTGCCATACAAAATTCTGAAGAGATGCTGCTTAGTGGAATACATGTAATATTCAAGTGCAGAGTTCTATTATTCTTTAATATCTGTCGCAGTACAAATTCTGCATTTTTTTCAGTGATACACAGCAGTGCCTCGCACGGTAAAAGGACCCATTCCTCTCGCAAACTATCATATCTCACAGTTGTAGGAGACATCTCAGTGACTTTCCAGAGACCAAAAGATCAAAGGCTTTGTTAATGTCATCAAAGGGGAGCTCGTGAGTAATGAACTCGTCCAGCTTCACCACCTGCGAAGAGGGCCATAACAGGTGAGTATATTCCTTCCATAGTTTCTATAATGATGATTTAATGAAAGAAAGACAGGAAAGAGGGGGATGTGTTTGGATGGTCATTACTCCTTGCAAGCATTGTTTGGCAAAAAGAGGGAGCTGAGTCTTCCCTTTGAAGCCTCCAAAGACTGAACCAACAATTCTGCGACCATCAAACAGCTCCATTGGATGAATTGGAAGCATTTGTGGTGTTGCATGAATTCCCAATATCACTGTCAATCCCCATCCCTGTTTCACCATTATATAATATTTGTCAAACAACAAGAAGGCTTCTTGTTGTTCTTGTTGTGTAGACATGTAGAAAGAAATGGATACCTCATGAACAGACAAGAAGGCATTTCGGAGGACATCAGAATTTCCTACACATTCAAAGCTATAGTCTACTCCTCCTCCAGTCATTTCTCTTATTCTCTGCCAATGATATAACAACATTTATTATGGAAAAATGGTTAGTAACAACTTTTTTGTTTTGAACAAACAATTCTTAGTTATTAGCATAACATTTGTTATAGGATGGAATCAGTTCTTGGAAAGAAAAGACGAACCTCGTACACGGGCTTCTCTTCATCCCTTGGATTTATGAAATCCGTCACTCCCATTTCCCGGGCTTTCCACCACATTCAAAATGTATTAGTTGTTATTTATCAATAATATGAAATCTGAGCGATCATAAAAACAAGGCATTATCTTTTAATTAATGGATTATATAGGAGTCAGCCAGGCAGGTACCTTTGATCAATTTGTCGGGGTTGGTGTCTATGCCGATTATTTTGGATGCCCCTCTTGCTTGTGCCCCTTTTGCCACCTGATTCAATTTCAATGCAATCTCTCACTATTTGCATTCATCATGGAATATTCATAAATCTTTTACATTTGGATTATTTATAACTTGTATACTTCCCCTTACTCATATTATAAACCATCTCTAACTATCTCATCATAGTCAAGAAGGCATGATTAACTCATTGACTTTGAAAATGAAACATTTTTCTAACTGTCCGTATTTAAGAATATAGAGAAACAGGTAAAGGGCTGCCAATGCCACATTCTCACACCCCTTGTAATTAACCTCTCAAATGTTTTTTATTTTTTTATTTATTGATTATTAGATTCTATATAAGATTAGTGACATTCGGCATGAAATGATGCAATTTTAAATTTTCTTTAGGATTTAAAAAAAAAACTTTGAAATTGTGCAATCTTGACTTTTAAAAAATAGGAAAATTGAAAACTACACCATTCTATGTCTGTAAAATGTCAAAATATGACTAATTTTACGTAAAATATAGTGATCAATAGGAAAAATAACATTTTAGAGCGTCATAAGGAGTATTATTCAAATTTCAAGTCTTCTGGATAACATTTTGAAAAAATTTATTAGTGACTCATCAACCGCCCTATATTATGAACAGTCAATATGAGCACAACATATGATGGAAGATATTTTATATATATATATATATATATAGAGAGAGAGAGAGAGAGAGAGAGAGCTAACAGCGAGGCCCACTGCTCCCAAACCGAAGACAGCAACAGCAGAATCAGATTCAACATTGGCTGTGTTCCATGCTGCTCCCACCCCTGCACTCTCATTTTTATTCAATTCTTTCATCAAATCTAATCCCATTTCAATTTCAAATCTAATATATATATATATATATATATATAAAACTCAAGTCAATTCTAAATTAAAAAATAAAGAAGATATTTTAAATCAGTTTAGTTGATTGAAGAGTCTGGAATCACGGCATGAAATCAAAAGAGTGCCTCAAAATAAACAATTGAGCCATCTCCAATCCAGAGAGACCTGGCCATCACTATTTATTTTCATCTTATCACATTGCAAAACAGATAAAAATCTTTTAACTTTCCTCAATCCCCCACCTCATGTCACTACAAGTTGACGATATACACCAATTCTGGGTCAAGTCAACCGGCAGAAATGCAAAATCAGACAAACAAAATAATTAATTAATAATTAATTAATTAAACCTTTTTTTCAATGCTCGGCTTCGCACGCAAACTGAGGCAGCCAAATACGAAATCACACACCTTTGGCGTACGAGAGATGAGGTTTGTACAAGTAAAACAACGTTTATGAACGAAGCAAAACCATATAATGTCAAATAATTTAAAAAAAAAATTACATACATCCTATTTTGTCAAGATTATATATATTTTTATTTTGAAAATGTACGAATGTCGCAAAGTAAAAATGAAAAAAAAAAGTTCTTGTAAGTTCAGCAAAATAACAAAGAAATTTTTTTAGTTTTTTTATTAAATTTTAAGGAAAAAAGTATAATTTTCAAATATAAAAATTATATAATTTAATATGGTATACACGGAATTTAAAGCCAATTATAATATAGTATTTATGAGTTGTAAGTAATGCAACACCCCGTCCGCCAATATTTTATACATATAGAGTCCACATATAATTCATTGGAAGTCGCATAATTGATAAGGGATATAAATACTATCGTCTACTTTAACCTCCTCGCAAGACAGCAACATTCGAAATTCCCATGCAATTTTATATATATATATATATTGGGGGAACGTGTACTTTTATTATAGATAGAGATTCATAACAAATCCAAGTAATTCAATATCTATATAATTTTCAAAATAATATGTAACACAAATAAAACTAAAAAAATGGATATAATTTATTCAATTTTTATTTTTTAATGAAATCTAGGTCTCTGATTGCGAGTGAATTGACCATGGGAACTTTAAGGTAATAGTCAAATGCTCCATTGCCCTTCGCCTTGGGCAAGACAAGGGACGTTAACGTCATTGCATCCGTAGAAAACACGAAAGCGATTGTCCAATGTTCGTTTCAAGGGGTGTTTAAAAACAGCCATGACCGCTTAAAACAGTGCTTAAATCCAAACACCTCCTTAAATTTTTTTGAGCTTAAGTTTGTTTCAGATCATAGTATTTGAAGTTTTTGAGGAAAAAAGAAAGACTTTACCGGTGGAAACGCCACAGCTGAGTAAGGTGAGGTTTTTGAGGCAGTGCTTATCGACGCCGCTGAGGTTGACGACACAAGCCGAGTCAACGACGGTGTACTCGGTGAAGGTGGAGGTGTTGAGGAAATGGTAGATGGGTTTGCCGCCGTCTACGGTGGTGAACCTGGTGGCGCCGTCAGCCACCATGAGTTTCTTCATGGGGTTAACTCCAAAGTTTTGGCACATATTGGTACGGTCAGAATTGCACAAGTTGCAGTGGCCACACTGGCCGTTGAAGATTGGCACCACATAGTCTCCTTCCTTCACATCCTTTACTCCTTCCCCTACGCTCTCCACTATCCTGCATTTATTTACTCTTCATTCATATCTCATGCATCAACCGCCAATTCAGTTTACCCTTATTTTTCCTTTGAAAAACCATTTTGCTTAATCAAATACCTAATTTTTCTTTATTAGCATCAGTAATTAGCCTTTTTCACTTTGTTCCCTTACTACTACTAATCCCTGAACAACAGAACCAACTAAGAAAAATTAAAGTACTTAATTGGAAAAAAAAAACCATGCAGAACCCAAATTAAAACTGGATAGAAAAATATTTGTATATGCAAAATGGTTCTCTCTCTTTGTTTTTTCCCCCCTAAAGAAAAGGTTATATCTCTGTAGGAGTGCCCTGGGTTATTAATGTTAATACCTCGTCCTGTCCTTAATATATATAAGATTCACATTATCGCTCATCCAAATTAAGAAACAAGCATTTAAATTTGGGATACCCGCAAGCTTCATGGCCAAAAATCCTCGGATAGGCCCTTTGAGCTTCGTTCTGCACAGAAACAGAAGAAACCGATCACATTTATAAGGATAAAGTTTCATATCAGAAGAAGAAGAAGAAGAAGATCTTTAAGGGTTTAAGAATAACAGACGTGGCCGAGCCAGGCAGTGAGATCTGTGTGGCAGATGGAAGTGAAGAGGATCTTGATTCGGACTTCCATTTTCTGGGGAGGATGAACCTTCACTTGGCTCTATCACCAACGGTTCTCCAGCCCCATAAGCAACCGCCGCTTCATATATATTTCATTCACAATCTCAGAAAAATGGCAATATGTATGATCCATGATTTTGATGAATATATATATATATATATAATTACCTCTGCAAGTAATGATCTTGCCCTTTGTATCATTCGGACTCAAGTGCTCCAAACCCATCTTCTTCTTCTTCTTCTTCTGCTTGAATTGCTTAGCTTCTCCGTGATTTGTGAAATATGGAGTGGGCATGTATCTTTATATAGACAGTTGAATGGAGAAAGATGGCGTATATGGCAATTAAGGATTTGGTTTTGATTTTTTAAAATAATAATCTTCCCTATATCTCTATTAATTGGCTTGCCTAGCTGGCTCTATATACGTAGGGTAGGATGGGGTTCCCAGTATTTAATGACTTATTAATATTACGTATTACTATATTTGGAGATATTATATATTTATACATCCTCCTTTTTTGATAACAAGACTTTCTTCCAGAAGTAGTAGTATTTTTTTCATAATTTTTTTATGTTCTCTATTATAATTATTTAAAAAGGAAATGCCCTTCATAAACTCATTTTGCAAGTATCTCCCTCTTTTTAATATTGTGAATGTGAGTTGTGATTAAAGTATTTCTGTTGGCAAAAAAAAAAAAAACTCGGGATGGTTTTGAAATATTTTAGTTTTTTTTAAAAAAAATCAATCATTACGACTTTTTTTTAAAATTTTGATTTAATTAAAACATGCATCCTATTTTTTGTGTGATGAAAATTAATGTTCAGTTTTAATAAAATAAACAGGATTCATGAAAGTAGAAAATTCAAGAACGCATTTATTACGACTTTTTTTTTTAGTGCAAGAACTTTGAACCTAGCTGAATCAAAGAACAGATAAAAGGGAAGACTCCAATGTCTTTGTCAATTTATAATCATCACTAATATGGAAAATGAAAACCCCATTTACACATTGGTCATCAAAGCCAAGTGTGAACAAAATCCCCATTGAACTGACCGCTGACTTGCTTTCAGTAATTAAGATTAATTCAACAAGAAAACCTTCACTTTTTTTTTTTTAACTCTTCGTGTCCTCTTTACTTTTTATCTTCATCACTGAATTAATTTGTAATATTTCATATTTTGATGTTTTATCTTAATATTAAAGAATAAAAATGATATACTGTCTAGATTAAACCTTTGTCAGTTTAAATTTGTTATTTTTTATTTTTATTAGTTAATATCATAATAATATTGTTATAATATATTAAATTTAGCCTTAAAAGGTTAATCCAAATTACCCCACTACGCGTTTTTTAAAATAAAGTCATTGCCTGTCCAAAAAAAAAAATTCCAACACATGTTTGGTTGATTACTTGATTTGATGTGGTGATGTGTCCGATTACCGCGGACAAAAATTAGCCGGCTTTGCCTTCTATGTTTTCACCAACAGCTACTGGGTGGCTTTATAAGAATTAGTTAACTAATTAAATAGATTAAAAAAATTAGTTAAATTAGTTATTTGTAATAAATATATTATTTTTTTAAAATATATTTTAATCAGATATATTAGCTAGATTATCACCATTATAAACTACTTCCAGAAAAAATAAATAAATATGAGAGACAAAATAAAAGTAAATAAGTTTTTATATTAAGGAATCGAAGTAGTATATCATTACTTTTTAAAATTTAATCAAACTATATTTAACATTTTTTAATTTTTCTGCCAATATATTTTTTTCTTTTAAAACTACTTTATATATTTTTTTAAATATACTTTTAATGAACATAACCTGGACATATTTTATTTATTATACGGAGTTCAAAAATAAAATATATCTTTCAGATATAATAAATAGGAAAATTTATTATAGTCCTTTTTTTTTATTTTGATGTACATATAATAAAAAAAATACCGTCAATAAGACGCTAAGTGACATGTGTTTATGCCAATAGTTAAAAATTTTATTGTTGGCAAGGGAAAAAAGTTAAAAAGTTATGTCCTAATGCATGGACACTTTATGAGATTTTTAAAAGTACGATTTTACTGTCAACATGTCACAACGAACAATTCAATCCATGTCAAGTTTTAATATGGATATGCGTGTGCGCGCGTGTGTGTAAAATATATGTATGAGAATGTGAGGTTTATCTTAGCTCTAAGGGTCAGATGGGATTTGGGGGCAGTGAGGGGTTTAAAAAATTTAAAATGAAAAAAAATAGTTATATGATAAATTAGATTTGTTAACATAAACAAAATAAATTACACATAACCAAAAAAGAGCCGCCTTGCATATCCTTAGCTTTAGATATTTAATGAGTTCGTGTTTTCAATTAAATTAAGGCATGTGAATTTCTTAAGATTATCTACCCTTTACAATTGACTTCTTTTGATTTAATTATAAAAATTATATTAAGTATATAAAATTAAGTACATAAAATCTTCTCTAAATTTTTTTCAAATGAAATGGCACATAATTCTACGAAAGTTTTCGAGTACTCCATGGATGGTTGTTGCCATATAGAAAAGCGATTGTAGACGGCTTTAAGTTTACAGTTGTCTATGGTTATTCTTTTGGTGGAACCGAAAAAATCAAAATATCATTAAAAAAGAGGAGTTAATTATTACGCCCGTATTTAATATAAGAGTTAGTTAACTAATTTATAATAAATTAAGAAAGTTTATTAATTTAGTTATTAATAAATATGAGTTGAATTTTTTAGAATCTGTTACTAATAATGTATATGGGTTAGAACTACTATTTAATAAAATCTTTGATATGTACAATTATTACAAGGTTTACTTTAAAAAAATGAATAAAAATAGAGATAAAATGAATTAGAGTCTTATATTTAAAATCAACCTAGTTCTTACATAGATAATATTTTGCCAAGATATTAGTTAGAATATGTCATGAACTTCAAGATGGGTTATGTATCTCTCCGATCATAAACAACTTTTTATTATTTTTTGTGGATTTAACTAGATGTCTCGGATAATAAATAAAAGAAATTAACGAGAGAAGGTGAAGAATAAAAGGCGGTTTGAACATTAAGATGTTAAGAGAGACAAAAAAAAATACTCTGCCATTTTTGCACGGATCTACCCTTACATAACATCCAAAGTGTGACCAAATTTGTGAGGGGCAGCTCCACGTGCTTTCCACTACCACTTATAATATTTCTTCTTATCTTTAATATAATAGCTAGTAAATTAATTTAAATAAATTAAAAAAATTAAGTTAGTTATTTGTTACAATATAAGTTAAATTTTCTAAAATACCCTCATCAATCATATGAAATAATTTAAATTTTAATTTCTAAAATACCCTTATTAATCATACATAATAGCTAAAACTACAATTTGGTAGAATTTTTAACATATATAACTACTACAATGACTACTATGAAAAAAAATAGATAAATATGAGAGATAAAATAGATTGGAGTTTTATATTTAAGACACAATTAAAAGCCAAACTAACTCTTATATTAAGGATTAAAAGTAATAGGATTCAAAGTGTTTTCGGTGCATTGAAAAATTCCCGGCAAAAAAAAAATTGGAAGAAAGTTTTTTTTTTAATTATGTTTTGTTAAAAGGATCAAGAAACTTACAAATCTATGTGAGTAAGTTTTTCTTATTAGTATTTTCTTTCAAAATCTCACTTTGCAACAAATTAAATGGGCCCTAATTCGTAAAATTTGATTAGTCTTGTTTATAATGGAATTGATAGATGGAGAAAGAAATTTGGAGAAAGAAAAAAACTTACTACTCCTTATTTAATATAAGATTTAATTAACTAATTTTAAAATATTAAGAAAATTATTAAATCACTTTAAAAGATTATACTTATTATTTTTCTCAAACTAATTTGTCTCACTTATAAATTAATATTTAATCTAATTACACACGTAAGTATTTTAAATAGATCATGTTATATATGTTATAATTAAATAATTTAATAATTTTTTTAATCTCTACAAATTAGTCAATTAGATCTTATATTAGGAATTGAATATGATAGTTCGTAAAATTCTTGTCGTGTGGTCACTATTTTTTGGGGGGAAGAAAATATCCAATCTCAACTTGCGAATTGCAGAAAGTCACAGTCAAAAATAATCTAAATACCATGCATATCTAATATATGTATCAACTTCATAATTAATTTGTTTGTTGGCAAAAAAAAAAACTGTCTTCCGAAGTTGACACCGAAAGTTGACTTGCCTAGGGTTTGTCTAGATATTTTTTTGGTGATATTTTATCCATAAAGTTAATTACATAAATGCATGAAAATGTAGTATCTATGGAAAAAGGTTTTTGGGGGGGCGGGGGGAGCGTGCAATTGGAGCAGCACTGGTGAGTTTCACATGAACCAATTTGCTTTTGCTACTTCATAGCATCCCAACTTGCCTATTAAAACCATGTATCCCCTTTTTTTTGGTTAATTTTCCTTTTTGGCCCAACTGAAATGATGTATTCCTGCTTCTATTAAATTTTTCGGTGCCTAACTGGAATCTCGATGTGAGATTTTATCAACTTTAATTCTATTATTCGAAGGTTAGCCCTCAATTTGATTTTTTTAAAAACTATTGACTTGACTGCCGTAAGTTGACAAGAAGGATTTGCCTTTCAACTAGGTAAAAATGTAACTTATTTTAAATCTGACTTTTAAAAAAATAAAATTGGATAAAAGTTAGATTAGGTAGTGTGATTTATGTTTGGATTAACTTTTATAAAATTTAGTTTGTAAAGTAGAAAAGTTGTTTGGCTTATAATTAGATAAGTAAGTTTAATTTATAGAATGACCAAAATAGATATGACTTTTATTAAATAATAAAAATCAATTAAAAATATGAATTTACAAAATGTAATGATTTTAAATTATTATAATTGGAAGAAGTTATATTTAATGAATAAAAATATATTTAAATTAGAAATCATAGTAATGTGAAAATTGAACCAAATAACATTAATATAATTAATTGGATGATATACTCTGCACAATTTATGTAAATATAAAATAAAAGATAATATTAAAAATTAAAAATATTATAAAATTATTTTAAAAATTATCTCTACTTAAGAGAGTGTTAAAAATAAATAACTAAAAACTGATTGGAAAGTATAAGGAATATGCATATGGAAGCACAAGAATAATATAATATGAGGGTAAAAATGTTTTTTAATTCCTAAGAGTTACTTTTTTATAAGTCATAAGTAGTTTTAGATATTTTTATAATCGTGCTTAAAAAAAA